TTATGGAACCCCCCTTCCCACCAGATAGTGGGTTCCCATTTATCCAACCATGCCAATCCCAAAATGATGGGCTTGATCATTTTATCCACTACTATAAATCTAATATATTCCTGGTGTCCTCCTATTTCTAACCGGAGAGGTTCAGTAACATGTGTGGCAGGAGCACTGCCTAGGGTGGAACCATCCATCTGTTCAAATTTGATGGGTTGTCTCAACTTCACCATACCAATCCCCAATTTCTCAACCACTGCCTGATGTATTAAACATCGAGTACAGCTGGAATCAACCAGTGCACCCTGTTCCAATCCCATGGATGTGCATAGATTCTGTACGGTCACTGGTATTACAAAGGGTTGAATAGGCTCGCTTACCATCAGGTCTTTGGGGTCCTCTTCCTCACTGTCACCAGAAGGTGTTGTAGTCACCCTCCCGGTCCCTGGCATGCTGCCAACCACCATGGCGGGTGTATCAGCCTCAATAGGTAGTGTCTGTGAGGCTGTCTTGGAGTGTTCTGGGGTCTGCCTCAATTGGTCTCTAGCCCTGTTCCCTGACACCACAGGACTGGGGGTTGGTATCCTCGGAGGTGGTATAGGACATATGGAACTCCCTGATATATTCCTTAGACGGATGTCCCCTTTGCCTGAGTGCAAGGAGTTCCCCCTCTCCCACCTGGTCTCAGCCTTGAATCTCACCTGTAGGCCCTCCAGGAAAAGCCCTACATCCACCAACTCCCTCGTGTGGTCACTATGTAAATCTGCAACCCAATCAGCTTATTCACCTGTTAAGACAGCCATGATAGCAACAACCATTGCCCATTGAGACAGGTAACAACATCCAAATATGTCCAGATAGCTAATAATCTGGCTCAGGAAAAGAGCCACCCGGTCAGAACTGCCATCAAAAGAAGCCTGTATGGGCGGTGGACCCCAAGGCATATGTGGAGCTCACGCTTCTGGAGGCATAAATGGCATGTGGTTTCCTGTGCTGGCTCCTTACTATTCGCCTTCTGGTGTCTGTCTCCTTGTGCCTGGTTGACTTACATCTTACATCTTGTTCCCTATGGGTCATACAGTCAATGCCTCTCATTACTGCTCCCAGCGAGAAGGCCTGGGTTCCAGTGGCTTGCTGTTCAATGGACCTAGTTCAGCCTGAGTCTCGCTTCACCCTGAGTTTTGGACTAGCTAAGAGGAATCGTGACTCAGACCTAACTCCCCCTTGCCCTGATGGCTCCATCCCCATCACCCAAGATTGCCACGATGGTGCATCCTGGAAACTGGCCTCCCCAAACCTGTCTCGCAACATCTCCATGGTGTTGGTCCCAAGACCTGTGGAGTAGCTCCACTCCCCCTCCTCACCCTCTGCCCACCTTCTTTCTCTCCAATCCTACCGGAATGGCAGACAGCCACAGGAGGCTCATCTTCACATCTCTCGGCTTGCCTGCATTCTACACGATGTATTTGGATCATATGCCTTCTGCCCCACACCTCTGCTTCCATCAGCTGCTCTTGCCACCATGGGTTCCCACGGCTGCCTGCTGACACTAGCCCACTGACTCTTGGCTTTTCCACAGTCCTCATGGCATGTCCATATGGTCTGCCTTCCCCCGCGCCTCTACCTCCATCTGCTGCTTGGACAGGGAATCATCTCACCTGCATTTTGGGGGCTATAATGTGCCAACCAAGAGACCAGCGGGCTGTAGTTGCTGCCTAATACCTTCAGTCCCCCCACACAGGCTGATTACTTTGAAATTGTGTTTCCCTGAAAATAAGCCCTAGTGTTTATTTTGGAGCCCCAAAAATATAAGATCAGGACTTATTTGGGGGAAACATGGTAGAACATTGCAATCATATGACCCCAAATTCTTCTTTTCATTAAACCCCACATACCTAATTCCTGCAATCATTATTCATGTTTCAACCTCCAATTCCCTAATCATTTTTGTTGCTTTTCTCTGCATTCTTTCTAGAGTATGTCAACATCTCTTTAATATGAAATCAACTGGCTGCTTATAAATAAAGGGGGATAGGAGCTTATAACATGAGGAGTCTCCTTCTCACAGCCATTCAACCACAAAATTTTCCTGGCATGGAAAAAACAGTTACAATTACTTAGACTTAATGCATCTTCCTTGTTGAAGTTCTGTAAACAGAAAGAGAAGTTGGCTGCACATCTGGTGATGAGTTCTGAATTACTTGCAATATTCTAAAACATCCTTTAATTCTCTTATAGAAAGTCAGCCTCTACCCCCTCCCAGAAGAAGGAAATATTTTGAGGAATATTAAGAAAAAGCAGACTATTATCTTTCCCTAAAGAGAAATGGAGAAACATGGAAGAGGAAGACAAGTATCTAGATAGCTCTATTCATAAGCAAAACAAATACTACAGGCAGATATCCATTCAAGACAGAATATTTTAAAACTCCCTGCAACAAACTCTGAACAAAGGCAGGATGGTAGGATTAGCCCCTCACCCAAGATCCAACACAGGACAAAACCATTAAACCACAATAGGAATTGCCCAACACCCTTTCAGAACACAAGCCCCTTCATTGTATGTCTCCCAGAGCAGTCCAAACTTCACCTGGGAGCTCAGAAAAACAATAAACCAGAGATTAATCAAATTAGCTCAGACAACCATCTAAGATTTGCATTTCCTCTTTTGCCTATAGAGCCAGCTATGACCCCTGCATAATAGCAATAGCAAAAGCACTTTGATTGATATACCACTTTACAGTGCTTTACAGCCCTATCTAAGCAGTTTACAGAGTCAGCAGATTGCCCCCAACAATTTGGGTCCTCATTTTATCGACCTTAGAAGGATGTAAGGCTGAGTCAACCTTGAGCCTGGTGAGATTTGAACTGCCAAATTGCAGGCAGCCAGCAGCCAGCAGAAATAGCCTGCAATACTGCACTCTAACCACTGTACCAGCACAGCTCATAACCCCTAAATAACCCAATAGGAATCTGAATATTAAAGGACATGTTCAATTACATGGCTTGATCACATGGAGGCTTATGTCATTCATCAACCCAGGAAAAAAATCATGACCCACTTTATGTTACTTTGAGAATATGGATTAACAGTGAACTCATTGACTCATTGAAATGAGCTAAAGATCCAAGCAATATTTTATTTTGTAACTGTGTTAAAAATATGGCTTTCCAAGATTTTAGAACTTTCTGTTCTGAAATTTATTCACCTTGTAAATGTAGCCCAATTGAAAACTTATCTCCAATGACATTTATTTCTTTGCATAGTTACAAGGCATTACACCCTGCTCTAATCCCAAAGGATTTTCAGAAGTTTACAGACCTGCTTCTATTAGGACATTTAAACCAAACATCATGATAAAATTGAACTACAAATACAATAACTGAAAGTAGTTAAAGACCCTCCCAAAAGAATAAAGGGGTCTGTGTGGAAGTCTACAATAGGATGGGACTGCTTGTCTTTGGCTTTTTGGATCAGTCATTTTTTAATCTGCTTCAAGAATTCATCACGGTGGGAGACAATGTTCTATTGTTCCAGAGAATTCCATCTTTAAAGGCATAGAATTAGCAAAATATTTTTTTAAAGATATTTTTTTCATTGGGATTGGGTTTTTTTCCTTCTAGCTCCTGTATAATTGTCAGTTAAGGCCCTTTGGTTCTTGAGCCATGGATGTCATCATTCTATTCCTTACTCAAAATCTCTAAGGAGCTTCACTGAACATCCATCGATTTCTCTATAATTACCAGCAGAGTCTTGGTAATGCAACTTCTCAAATCCTTAGGGATGTCCAAGGGACAACTCCCCAAAATCAGGTGAAGACTGAAAGGTGCTATTATTTGTGGAACCAGAGGGCTAGAAATGTCATAATCTGAGAAAGAATATGTATGTGGACTATTCTAAATAATTAGAGCTTCTTCTTCTTCTTCTTTTAATGTTTCATTGTTGCAGATGGCACTGATTCATATCTGGGGATGAAAATCTTCTTGAAAAAGATGGTATTTTTCCTGGCAGTAATAGCAGTCCTATTGCCAGGGGTTTCATGCCTTATTTCTCATACTGAAGCATGTTCCGTGGGGAAACCTCAATTTATTAAGCACAAGTATTTTATGCCAGGAGATTTCACGATAGCTGGGATACTCTCTCAATTCTACATGATGTCTGATCGAGTGGATTTCACAAGACACCCATCTGAAGAACTGTTTGATGTGTTCATGTAAAGACTTTCCCTTTTTAGCTGTAGCATGTCTCAAACCAGATATCTTTCTCTAAGAAGATGCCTGGAATGAGTTAATTAGTGGTATTGCTTGCAGCACAAATTATTTCTCCTGGTTCCTTCATTCTTAAGCTAATAGAAATGGATTTCCACTGATATATTTTACCTGGCAAATAAATTACAAACACACATACATATGCACATGTTTAAGGCAGATTTCACCCCAGTGCTTCTGTTCAAATTCTATATTGGGCTTTTTTCATTTTCTTTCTGTGGAATGAATTTTCAGTGCCCTATTATTGAAACACTGTTTATAGCTAATTGAATGTTAACCTTTCCCAGTTTAATTTTTCTTCTGAATATTAGGGAACAATGGCACTATGTAGTACTTTTAATTTGTTTGTTCAGCATGTATGGAGTACAAATGTAAGGCTGCCCCAATGAAACTGGTACAACTTTTCCTAGATAAGTGATTCCAGAAAAAGAGTTCCATACATCATTTATATGGAACATATGAAGAACGGTTGTAGGAATTGGGTATATCTAGTTTAATGAAAAGAAGGACATCTTACAATGTTCCAATATCAAAGGAGCTGCCACAAAGAAGAGAGAGTCAAGCTATTCTCCAAAGCATCTGAATGTAGGACAAGAAGCAATGGATGGAAACTAATCAAGGAGAGAAGCAACCTAGAACTAAGGAGAACTGTCCTGACAGTGAGAACAATTAATCAGAACAATTTGCCTCCAGAAGTTGTGAATGCTCCAGCACTGGAGGTTTTTAAGAAGAGATTGGATAATCATTTGTCTGAAATGGCATAGGGTTTCCTGACTTCCAAAGTTCCTTTCAGCTCTGTTATTCTGTTTACTCTCAAGTAAGGTTTAAAATACATTTTCCTCCTCTACCCATAAAAGTATCCAAAGTGAAGACAGAAGAGCTAAAAATACAAGACTTAGAAGTAGGTCTGAGAATTACAGGTAGATCATAATGTTATTATTAATGTTCCTTCAAGCAATCCATCAGTTTCCTAGTGAATCATTTTTAGAAATCATAACAGCTGGCTTAAAAAAAATAATGTTTTGTCCAAGACCATTTTCCCTTTCATTGAAACATAATGTTTTAGACAACTCTGAAAAATTTCTCTCTCTTTCTCTCTCTCGTCCCCCACACACTCTCTCTCTCTCTCTCTGTATATATGTATAAGTGTGGGTGTGGGTGTGGGTGTGGGTGTGGGTGTGTGTTGGTTATGTAATTTATATATTATTGCTATCATTCAATCCATCTGTGGCAAAGTGAAAAATTTTGGAGTGCTAACGCATTTACATGCTTTCTTCTTGCATGGTACTATGCAATCTTCTTTTTTTCTTCTTAGCATTTAGCAGAATTGTAAATAAAGTATACATAATGCCACATTCTTTAAGAGAAGAAATATGATTTGTAATGTATCTGTGTAGATTTTATCTACAGAACTACCAACATATCCTGGCCTTAGTTTTTGCTGTAAAGGAGATCAATGAAAACAATCACATTTTATTCAACGTGACTCTGGGTATGCACCTCTCTAACAGTTATTTCATGGCGAGATGGACCTACTTGGCTTCAATGGAGCTCCTCTCAACACGGGGTAGATTCATCCCCAATTATAAGTGTGATACTAAGGACTGGGCAGTATCTGTTATTGCAGGACCTAACTCTAACATCTGTCCCTTCATGGCAAATGTTTTGAATGTCTACAAGATGCCCCAGGTAAGATTTGCTCTTGAAATACATATCATGGGCTGTGACAATAATTTTGAGAGATAGGAGGAAGAACTGTAGCCTAGACAGTGATCTGGTAAAATGAGCCCAAACCAATTTGAGAAAACATTCAGAATTGACTCAAGGAAGGAAGGAAGGGAGGGAGGGAGGGAGGGAGGGAGGGAGGATCATTCTGTAATATAAAGATCAAGATAAATATTCCCAAGTACTAATACATTGAATTGCTTAATCAAGTTCATGAATACTTAATATTATTATTAAAACATGGTGAGAAAAGGAATTGATGAAAATATATTAATATTTCTATTAAGTGTACTTATAAGTTAAGGAATCATAGCATTTTAAATAGTTTGGATATTACTAAAATAGTTTAGTAGTAAATTGAGTCTAGTACTATGTCTATGTCATATGTCTTTGTCTATGTCCATGTCATATCTCTATGTCATATGTCTATGTCATATGGTCGCCACTACATTATTCATCATGTTAATGATTTGTGTTGTTTTTCTTAAATGTAATTTTGTAGATGAAACTGGTAGGAGGGAAATGCTTTCAGACTTGCAAGATTGTGGTTTCACGGTCTGGATTACCTCAAATGATTGACATCAATCTTGCCCACCTAAAAGTGCTTCCCTCCTCAGCTTCTTTTATACTGCAATGAATTAGGGAGAGTCAATTCTGAGATGGTTATAACATTTCCTGAATGAGATGGTTATAACATTCTTCTTTTAATTGTTTTTTATTAAAGTCTATTATATGATAAAATATATAATAGATATCTTTTGATATCAAGAAAGGTAAAGAAGAGGAAAGATAAAGTCAAGAAAAATCAAGAAAGAAAAAGAAAATAAACAAAGGTGTAGAAAGAAAATTAAAAACCAGTGTTTTCTGATTTTTTTAAATTTCATTTTTATAAATTTTATTCATAAACATTTTTGAAAAACAGTGCATTGTCAGAGTATCATTTACAAACAGAACAAAGCCAAAGAAAGTTGAAAGTAAATATTAGCACACAAACTTATAGCAAAAGTAATAATATAATAGCAGTAATAATAATATAACCCAAAAACTTAAACTAGGTTTCTTCTTACATTAGCTGATTTACATTTTTATCATTTACAGTACCTCTTTATTTACAGTACAATTTACCTCTTTATTTTCAATATTGATAATATTAACATTCATAATCTTACTTTCTCTAATTTCTACCTCTTTTCTCTATCCATTCATAAAATTTATTCCATGTGATAGTATTCTGAATCTTCTTTATCTTTAATTTTTAAAATTAGTCTGTCCACTTCAGCACAGTCCCAAATTTTTCTAATTAAAACCTCGTCCAGTGGGATGTTAATATTTTTCCAGTATTTAGCATATATGATCCTTGCTGCCGTCAGTATATGTAACACTAAATATGTGGTCACTTTATCATAACCCTCTGATAGTATACCTAAGAGGCATGTTTCTGGTTTAAACTCAATATTTTGTTCAGTTATCATTTCCAGCCAGTTATGTGTGTGGTCTGAATATTTTCTTGCTTTACCGCATGTCCACCTCATATGGTAATAGGTGGCTGGGGTCTGGTTGCATTTCCAGCATTTGGCGGATAGGTTACTGAACATTTTCGCCAATCTCGCAGGTGGTAAATGCCACCTGTAAAACATTTTGTATAGATTTTCTTTGTATGCCAAGGCCATAGTCGATTTGTAATTTCTGTCCCAAAGTTTTTGCCATTTCTCTAATTCTATATTATAACTGAATTTTTTTGCCCAGGCAATCATCATTTCTTTAACTATTTCTTCCTCCATTTTATAGTTCAGTAAATAATTATATATATATATATTAATCAGTTTTTCATTTGTCACCATTAACATTTTGTCAAATGCTGTTGGTTCTTTATTTACACCCTATGTTCTAACATCTTTCTCATATCTTGACTGAATTGGGAAATACAGCCACCAAGCTAGATCTACCCTTTCGTTCTGCAGTTGTTGCCTAGATTTAAGGTTTCTGATTTTTTTTTACTCGCAGTAGGGTATATGAAAAAGCTACAACCTCAATCTTTTCTTTACATTTCCAGTTAATTCAAACCATTTCTATAACAACAAAGTTGATCAAATAATCAAAAACTATAATCAGTTTCATTTTTTTCCCATTTTAAGTGTGAATTCAGAAGTGGTTCCCAGGTGGAAACAAAACTAAGTCAATTGTTCCCTTTAATTAAAACTGTTGATTTTGCCATCTCGCTCACAAATTAATGCATTTCTGTCTTTAGCTTTGTAATTATACTACTTCTAAACATCAGGTTTTTATGAACAAGATTAGATATCTATTAATGTTTGCATTAATGTTTACAGCAAAGATTTTTCAAAAATAATAAATACTTCACTTTGGAAAATCATGCCCCTCCTTTTTTTTCTTCTTCTACATTTAGCTGATATATGGATCTTCTCCTATGAGAGATGACCAGATACAAGCTGCTTTCTTCCATCGCTTTTTCCCAGATGGTGACCAACAGATTATGGCTATTCTCCAGTTGCTGTTGTATTTTAGGTGGACATGGATTGGGCTGATTTTCCAACGTAATGAGAGTGGAGACAGATTCATTCAAAATGCTGTTCTGTTGTTTTCCCAACAAAGTATCTGCTTTGCGTTCATAGAAGAGATGCCCCAGCAAACATTTTCTAATGATTATGCGGAAGCCTCTAAATATTTTAGCAAAATGTACATTACTGTCATGAACAGCACTACCAATGTCATTATCCTATATGGTGAGAACCAAGTTACCATGACTTTTAGATTGTTGCCCTATTATGGAGACTTTGATGATATACCCATCGAGAGAAAAGATAAAGTTTGGATAATGCCAGCCCAGATGGAGTTTACATCCGTTCCCTTTCAAAAAATTATTGCTATGGACATTTTCCATGGTGTTATAAGTTTTGAAGTTTCTTCCAAGGAGATTTCTGGATTTAATAAATTCCTTCAGATGAGAAACCCAACTTTAGAAGTGGAAGACCATTTATTGAGAATGTTTTGGAAAGATGCTTTTGAATGCTCTTTTTCTAAAGATAATTTAGATGAAGACGCTGGGAAGCTGTGCACTGGAGAAGAGAAGTTGGAGAATCTACCTAAGTCTGTGTTTGACACCACCATGACTGGACAGAGTTACAGCACCTACAATGCAGTTTATGCTGTGGCACATGCTTTACAAGCCATGTTTTCCCCCAAACACAGAACAAGAGCAAAAGTTGGAGGAGAAATGTTTTTGACTCAAAAGGCATGGCAGGTAATAAGAGACTGAATGAACATTTCCCATTGTTCTTCTCTCTAATGCAGTGCTCTGTCCTACTCTTATGGATACACCAATGACACCTATGATTTTAAGACTCCTGCTACTCCGTTTTCCATATCCTTTTGAGACCTAGAGAAACCTTTGTAACTGTGAATAGGTAAAAAGGCTACAACAATAACACAACAGTATAGAGGAAATGATTAAGGTGCAATAAAATGTGCCTGTTTGGAACGGGTTCAAAACATCTGTGGCAGGGGAGAAACATGGATGAGAGGTTACAAAACACTAATTCTATTAATGAACTCAGTTGTATTAAATCATTATCCATAATTTAATACCATTGATATTGATCTCTCTCCCTCCCTCCCTTCTTTCTCCCTCTCCCTTCCCTCCCCCTCACCTTCTTTTTAATTACCAAGCTTTGCTTCCTTTTAGTTACATCACTATTTGAGAACCATGTCATTCAATAACACTGCAGGAGAGAAAATTTCCTTTAATGAAAATGGGGATTTGGACACTGGATTTGACATTATCAACTGGGTCACATTCCCAAACAAGACCTTTGTTAAATTCAAAGTTGGAAAGATTAACCCAGCGGCTTCTCCAGATAAGCTATTCACCATTTCTGCACAAGACATCACTTGGCCTATCATGTTTAACCAGGTATTTCCTGCTCAGATTTCAAACTGTGTATTCGTCCCCATTTATTTATTTATTTATTTATTTATTTATTTATTTATTTATTTATTTGTTCTATTTATATGCTGCCCTTCTCCAGAGACTCAGGGCGGCTTACAAAGCGTCAAGCAATAGCCTTCATACTTTTGTATATACCTGCTTAATAGGGCTTTCGCCCCCCCCAAGCAGTGTTCTTTTTTATACAAAGTCAGTTTATTGCCCCCACAATCTGGGTCCTCATTTTACTTGCCTCAAAAGGATGGAAGGCTGAGTCAACCTTGAGCCTGGTGAGATTTGAACTTGCAGTAATTGCAGGCAGCTGGTGTTACTTAACCACACTTTAGTCTGCTGTGCCACCAAGGCTCTTCCCTTCTTGTTTCCAGAATTATTGATTCAAATGGATCTTACATTTAAAGTTGTCAGATCGAAGAAATAATGACCAGAGACGAAGAAATAATGACCAGAGATTTTGAAATACAAAGACTTACATCTCTGTAAAGCAAAATAATATACTGATCCTCATTAAATCTTTATGGTTTTAGCAGAATTTAATCCAATAGCTGCTGTCTATTCCTGCTGGCATTTCAAGCTTGTCTAGTTTAAATATATATTTGAAAGTTGCTAAAATATTTAAAGCTGTCATATAATTCACAAAGTAATAACAAGACATAAGAAATATCTCAATTTTCTGTTAAACAGTCCCGTTAATCTGAACATTGATTTTCCCCACAAAAAAATAACATTTTCCCGTTAGTCTTCTCTTTTTTAGCAACCACTCTGTTGTTGAAGTTCTATTTTCTGCAATCGAGTTTGAAGCAGTTTACCTTGAGTTTGTATCAATTGTTTGCCTGTGTATTATTATGGTTGAAGTTGAAGAAGTCATTGACAGGCAAGACATTATAGCAAACAATTTTGTGTACTATGCTTAGATCGAACTGCAGGTGGTGCAGTTCCAGATTCACGAAGCCCAAAATTTCAAGCCTGGTGGCATAGGGAATTCTATTGTGAGTAGAGGAGTGAAGTACTCTTTTTTTTAAAATACCTCTGAACCTGCTCAATCGTGTTAATGTCCGATATACAGTGTGGGTTCCAGGTGGACAAGCTGTATTCAAGAATAGGTCTGGCAAAGGTTTTGTATACCCTAGTTAGCAATACAGTGTTACCGGAGGAGAAGCTTCGCAAAATTAGCTCAACAACTCTTAATGCCTTTTTGGCAATGCTGTTACAGTGAGCTCTGGGGCTTAGATTGTTTGAGATTAGTACTCCTAGGTCCTTGACAAAATGAGATTCAAATACGAGATCGTTTCTGCCCAACTTGTATTTGGTGGTTTTTGTTTTTTTTTTTTATTTGATTTATATGCCACCCTTCTCTGGAAACTCAGGGCAGCTTACAGTGCTTTAAGCAATAGCCTTCATACTTTTGTATATTTTATACAAAGTCAGTTTATTGCCCCCACAAACTGGGTCCTCAATTTACCTACCTTAGAAAGGATGGAAAGCTGAGTCAACCTTGAGCCTGGCAAGCTTGGTGTTCTGATTTTTATTGCCAATGTGTAGGACAGAACATTTATTAGATGAATTTTGGAGTTGCCAATTACGCAACCATTCTGACACATTGTCAATTAGCTTTGAATCATTGCAAAGTCACAAGCCATCAAGGACCCACATCTTCCCAAGCTCCATGGAACCTTATCTATATGTTTCCCAGGGAAGTCAAGCAGTCTGGAGAGATTCCCGTATTATAGATAGTATTTGCCATAAGATAGTCCATCAATCAATCGGAATAGAGCTGGAAGGGATCTTGGCGATCTTTTAGTCCAATCACTTGAACTAGTTGAACAAGTTGAACTAGTCAATTTAAACGCTTCATGTGTTGATCTATTGAGCATAGTACTTAGAATAATAAAGTTGGAAGCAACCTTGGAGGTCTTCTAGTCCAACCCCCTGCTCGAGCAGGAGACCCTATACAATTTCACATAAATGGTTGTCCAGTCTCTTTTTGAAAAACTCCAGTGATGGAGCACCCACAACTTCTGAAGGCACGCTGGGCCATTGGTTGATTACTCTCATCATTAGGATATTTCTTCTTATTTTTTGGTTGCTTGTCTCCTTGGTTAGTTTCCATCCATTGTTTCTCGTCTTGCCTTTTGGTGCTTGGGAAAAAAGTTTGACCCCCTTGTCTTTGTAGGAACCCTCAAATGGAACACTGCTATTATGTCATCCCTAGTCCTTCTTTTTCATTAGACTAGACATACCCAATTCCTGTAACCATTCTTCATAAGTTTTAGCCTCCAACCTCCTAAACATTCTTGTTGCTTGCTTGCTTGGGCCTGACAGTTATTGTTGCCATCTATGATCCTCTTGATATTAATGTGAAATCTGCATCATGTGCAGCTATCTATCTTTTTCTTTCTTCTTTATCCTCAATGTCGTCATTTCTTAGGCATGCATTATAGCTGGCAAGGCCATCTTTTAAACTTGTCACCAAAATATCCTCATTCTTCTTCCCTTTTTAAAAAGTTGTGGTTTGGTTTCTTTCCTAGAGATAATCTCTTCTACATGTCTTCTGTGTATTATCCACTTTGCTTCTTATTGAGTCCTTGGAAACAACCTCAACATCCTTTCCTTTGTTGCTTTCAATTGTATGTTCAAACAAGCCTGCAGCTACTTGTTACACTTTTTTTCTTATTTGTTTTAAAAACATTCTTTTTTCTCTTTTACTATCAAAGTGTGGGCTGAACCACCATTCTTCTTTTCTTCAGCAACAGATGAATGGCCACCTACCATTTTAGGTACACTGCAGTGGTGGGTTCCTCCCAGTTCGGTCTGGTTCGGCTGAGCCGGTAGCGGTGACGATATGACATCACCGAACCGGTTTTCTCCCCCCCGGCCTCCCCCCCCCCCCCCCACGTAATTCTTACCTTTTATTTGGTCCCACCCCCAATCTATTGCTGCCTCCTGAGTCCCAGCTGATGACTAGAGGGAAAAAAACTGTTTAAACTCTTGCCGCGGGGCTTCAAAGGGCCGTCCTACAGCTGATCAGTGTTAGAAGCAAACAAATGAGTCGGGTCGTAAGTGCGAGAACTGGTCGTAAGTGCGAGGACCTTCCATAAATGATTCTGACCAGCTAGCCACGCCCACCTAGTCACATGACCTCCAAGCCACACCCACAAAATAAGCCACGCCCACAGAACCGGTAGTAAAAAAAATTAGAACCCATCCCTGTTACACTGGAAATAATACAATTGTCCTCAGCCTTTCCTAAGGTGCTGGGAAGGCTATTCCTAATCATTTCCCCATATCTAAAGCGCAGGTTTCCCCCATCTGCTATCTTTCCTATGTATGCTGGTTTACGCTGGCAAGTATGCCCCCCCCCCATCCTCAAACTCTGCTTTCTTTCTTCAATGGTCATTCATCGGGGCTGCCTGGATGGTTGTTATTATTTACATTTATTCATTAAACATGAAACTTAGCCAACTGAACATTTAAAAATGTATCACAAATATTATTGACTGGCATTGATATAGGTTGCTGCCAGCATCCTACGTTATCGACCAAGTATGTTCTTAAAATGTATGTTGTTCTGAGTAGCACAGTCTTTTGCAGCTCCGCTGGCGTTACAGCAGGAAGCTGCAGATTATTATTATTATTATTCTCTTTTATTCATCAAACATGAAACTCAGTCAACTGAACATTCAAAAATGCATCACAAATGCCATTGACTGGGGCTAATGATTGCTGCCAGCATCCTAGGTATCAACCAGGTACCTTCTTAAAAGATATGATGGTCTGAGTAGCACAGTTTTTTACAATTCTGCTGGTGTTATTGCAGGAAGCTGTAATTTCTTGAAGTGTTTTGTAAAATTCTTGGACATGGTACCAAGTGCCCTGATGACAATGGGTATCACTGTTACTTGTTTACCCATAGCCGTGTAGTTTTGATGGCCAGGTCGCGATGATGATGATGATTGTTTTTTTTTTAATAAAATGTTTTTTATTTAATAAACATTAAAAACATTGGACACAGTGTGACCATCCTGGTCTTAACATATCCATACATATTCTTTCCATAATAACAAATGTAATTACTATTTAACATACATTGCTACTTTGTTCTTATATACATATCCCTTGTTTTCATTTACTATCTATTTACTATTTGTTTACTATTTACATTTATTAATACTATCCAGTATTAATTCTACAGACCCTAAATCTTTTTTGTTGGAACTCCTTTTCTCCTTTCCAACCAATAATACACTTTATTCCAGATTTTATAGTATTCTGTCTCATTCTTGTTATTGAGTTCTAGTGTCAGCCTGTCCATTTCTGCACAAGTCAAAATCTTCCTTATTATTTCTTCTTCTGGGAGGATTTTTTCCTTTTTCCAGTATTGTGCATAAATCAATCTTGCTGCTGTTATCACATGAAGCATTAAGTATGTTGATTCTTTGCTATAATTCTCTTTTATAATTCCTAGTAGGCAGTGGTGAAATCTAAATAGTTTAGATTCTGTGGGCGTGGCTTGGTGGGCGTGGCTTGGTGGTGGTCATGTGACTGGGTGGGTGTGCCCAACTTTTTTTTTACTTTTTAAAGCATTGTTAACAGCACCTAACCAGCATGACCCCCACTCATCAAGCCAGACCCAACGCCTCCTAGCCCTGAAGATTGCCAGCCTTTGCACCTCAGCCACCCAGTCTGGGAGATGATGGGGGGGGGGAGAGAGTTTGTCCCCCTTTTCACTCACCCCAAGCTTCCTGCTGCAGATTTTTTTATTTATTTATTTATTTTTTTATTTAATTTGATTTATATGCCGCCCTTCTCCGGAGACTCACAGCGGCTTACAATGCGCTAAGCAATAGCCTTCATACGTTTGTATATTTATACAAAGTCACCTTATTGCCCCCATAATCTGGGTCCTCAATTTACCTACCTTAGAAAGGATGGAAGGCTAGTCAACCTTGAGCCTGGTGAAATTCGAACCTGCAGTAATTGCAGGCATCTGGTCTTAATAACAGGGTGCTTTAAATCACTGTACTACCAAGGCTCCAAGATTTTCACACCTTGCTTCACGTGCCCGGGCTCGTCGCCCTCGTCTTCTTCTTCTTCCTCATCCTCTTCTCAGTCTTCCAAGTGGAAAAAAAGCCAGGACAAAGTGCAAAAAGAAGCACGTGCTTGCTCCTTGCATTTTTCCATTTGTAGGAAGCTTTCGTACCTGTGAAGGCAAGTTTGGCTTCCTTCCCTGCTCACTAAAAACCTCACCAGTACTGGTGTGTGCACGGGTTGTGTGTGTGTGTCTTTGCTCCTGGTCTTTCGCAGCAGACCGTGCCCAAAGTCCCGTCCCTGGCCGGCTGAACCAGAGTCAGGGAATTCATCCCTTCTGGCCTTGTCTGGGTTGGGCTGGCCAAAGCCGTCCCCAGATCATGCTCCTTGGGCGGTGGGTCTGCTCTGTGGAGCCACCTTGGGGGTTATGCAGCATGATAGCTGATTTCTGCTGCTTTTAAAGGCCTCGGAGCAGATCCAGGCACTGCCATTCCAAGCCTTCCAGGGGTAACCACCATCTCACCTGTTGCGCCTCTGTCTCTGGTGCAGCAGGAGCAGCCAAGACACCCCCTCCACTTCCCGGGGCAAAATTTTGTGTTACTTCCCATTTATTATTACTCTTGCCTCTTGATTAGAGTATATTGCTTTAAACACATTCATAAAGTTTTCACCGAATTCCATATATTTTAACTGTTTGAATATATAGTCCCAATTCACATTATCAAAAGCTTTTTGTGCATCTAGAAAAATCAATGCCACTTGTGTCTCACTATGCACTTCATAGTATTCTAACACATCCAATATTGTCCTCATATTATTTCTTATTTGCCTTTTCGGCAAAAAAACCATTTTGGTCAGTGTGCATAAAATTATTCAAATATCTTTTTAGTCTTCCAGCCATTATTGCCATAAATATTTTGTAGTCCGAATTCAGCAGTGATATAGGTCTATAATTTTGGATAAGTGTTAAGTCAGTGTTCTCCTTTGGAATCAAAGTAATATTTACCTCTGCTCATGAGGCTGGTGTTGTTGTCCACCAGCACCTATGGAGCTGACAGTGGAGTTGGACAGGGAGGAGGCTGAGGAAGACAGTCCTAGAGGCTGGGGAAGGCCCGGATGAGGGCTCTGTTTCAGAGGCAGAGATGGGGCCAGGGCCATCGGGGAGTGAGGTGCGAACTCCGGAGCCTCCAGAGGCTGACAGTAGAGAGGCAGAGGAACAGGAGGAGCCTCTTCCTAGTGCATGCATGAGAAGAGCTGCCAGAAGGCAAGAGCAGCTAAAGAAAAGAAGACAACTCGGGAGTAGGGCCAAGAGATTATTGGCCCCTCCCTTAAGGCTTAAAAGACCAGCAACGCTCTTGGACTCTTTGTCAGAAAACAACATTGATAGACTTGTTTCTTGTCTTGCTGCATTTATTTCTTGTCGGCGTCTTTTGCTTCTGAACTTTTGCCAAGAAAAGCCTTTGGCAGTTTGCCACAATAGACCAAGGTTGGTGATAAGACTGAAGAATTGTGTTATGAAGAAATTGTTTTGATTTAGTTTAGACTATGCTGAGAATGAGTTAATTCTTAGCCGTTCTAATAAAGTATGTTTATTTTTGAACTGTTTGCGTCTAAAACTACCTACTTGGGCCTGGGTCACAACATCTGGTGCCTTTGCTTCTTTTAATACCGCATTATATATCTTAATTAGTATTTCTCCTAAGGACTCTTGTATTTCTATATATAGTTCCGATGGTAATCCGTCGGACCCTGGCGTTCCGTTATTTTTCTGTTTTTTAATTGCCTCTATTAATTCGGATATACTTATATCTGTTCTGTCCCCGTTGCACGCACACACACAAACAGACAGCCAGGAATTCCTTTAAGATAACAGTCTTGGCAGTGAACCATGAACTGCCTGCCAAGAGATTTTACTCACTAAAGGAGGTTTTGTCTCCTCAGTCCGATATATCAAATTAATTCCTCAAAGCAAATAATTGTCAAAGTCCAGTCTGAAGAAATCCAAAAACAGATTCTAACAGGGTTCTAGAAACATGATATGACTTCCGAGCTTTTCAATTTGTCTGTCACAAGGCCTGAATAGCCGACACACCCCCTTTTATCCCTTGTGGGATGTGGTCCAGTGACTCAGCTCAATCTCTGGCCCACCCACGCCTCTTTCTCTGCTGCGTGCGCTTATCCTTCTGATGCTGTCTGGGATCCAGCCAAAACTCATCCCCCTCGCTCTCTATCTGCGGCTGCTCCAAAGTGCCTTGCTCTTGGCATATCTCTTGGCCTTTGGAGGAAACCTGAGGCATTGCCAGAGAGGAGGGGCCTGGAGAGGGAGGCCTTGCCAAATCCTCTCCTTCACCTTCTGAGACCTCTCCCTCTGTTAGGTCAGGCTCAGTGGTCGGAGTCACAACAATATCTTCATTCAGCATGTTTTTTATCTCCTCTGGGACTTTGGGTAGTTCAGCTTTCTGGAAACAATGTTGTATTTTTTCTTCTGTACTACCATGATGATGATTGTTCTTGTTATTTTTCCTGTTGTTGTTATTTGGGTAGTATTCAGCAGTGGAGTGGTGGAATGCTTAAAAAAAGAATCAGCAGGGGAATAGTGAAATGCAGGAAACAGAAATAAATACTGTGTAGTTTTAATGGTCAGGTCACAAAATTTCAAAAAATTTTCCAGTTCTTTTTCTTCTACTCTGGCATCTCCTGGTACAGCGATATCAATAAACTTATTGTTATTGTTATTGTTATTGTTATTGCTATTGCTATTGCTCTTCTTCTTCTTCTTCTTCTTCTTCTTCTTCTTCTTCTTCTTCTTCTTCTTCTTCTTCTTCTTCTTCTTCTTCTTCTTCTTCTTCTTCTTCTTCTTCTTCTTCTTCTTCTAGTGACATGATAGCAATCTTCCAATATTTGAGGGGCTGCCACAAAGAAGAAGGGGTTGACTTATTTTCCAAAGTACCAGAAGGCAAAACAAGAAACAATGGATGGAAACTAAGCAAGGACAGAAGTAACCTAGAACTAAGGAGAATTTTTCTGAATGAGAACAATCAACAACTTGCCTTAAGGGGTTATGGATGGCCCCTCATTGGGAGCTTTTAAGAAGAAATTGGACATCCATTTGTCTGAAATAGTATAGGGTCTGCTGTTTGAGCATGGGGTTGGATTAGAAGACCTCCAAAATCCTTTCATCTCTGTTATTCTGTTTGCTCTCAAGTAAGGTTCAAAACACATTTTCTTCTCCTACCCATAAAAATACCCAAGGTGTACTTTTACATCTTGTACTTGTAAGATTCCTTCCAACTCTGAAGATGGGGGGAGGGGGAGGAGGAAGAGGAGGAGGAGGAGGAGGAGGATAATGGATGGGGATTCTGTCAATTTCCCCTTTATGTCCAAGATGACAGGAATAATGGTGAAATTGTTTTTACTTTGTTACTTTTCCCATCAATTCTTGAAAGACATTCAAGTAGAATGTTCTGAAACTTTTGAGTTTTAATAAATCCTGGTTTCACTTCTTGATAGGTTCTACCTCTTTCTGTTTGCAATGACAATTGCTATTCTGGGTTCAGAAAGGTGAAAATAGAAGGGAAGCCATTTTGCTGTTATGATTGTGCTCCATGTGCAAAAGGGAAAATTTCAAACCAGATGGGTAAGAGCTGTGTGTGCAAAACTATTCAGTCTTCTTAATTGTGATTAAAAATGCTAATTTTCAAACTTCCCACAACTGACTTCTAATGTGGTGATCGAACCAATGATATACCTATATAAAAGAAGCATTTCTAGAAATTCAACATGATGTTTTGTTTTTTCCAGATGCGGTTGACTGCTTTCAATGTTCAGAAGACCAATATCCAAACAAGGCTCAAAACCTTTGTATTCTAAAAACAACCACCTTCCTGTCTTACAATGAGCCACTGGGAATCACCCTGGCCAGTGTTAGTCTCTTCCTTTCTTTCATCACAGCTTTGGTGCTGGGGATTTTCATTAAACAGAGGGACACCCCCATTGTCAAAGCCAACAACAGGAGTCTCACCTACATTCTTCTCATTGTTCTCCTGCTCTCATTCCTTTGCAGTTTGCTCTTCATTGGGCAACCTGACCAAGCAAAATGTTTCATGCGGCAAGCTGCTTTTGGCATCATATTCTCGGTAGCCCTTTCTTGCATATTAGGAAAAACGACTATTGTTGTTCTTGCTTTCATGGCCACCAGGCCCGGTTCCAAAATGAGGAAATGGGTAGGGAATAGGCTGGCTTTTTCAATTGTCCTATTTTGCTCCCTGGCACAATTTACCATTTGTACAGTGTGGCTGACAATTTCTCCCCCATTCCCAGATTCTGACATGCACTCTATAGCTGAAGAAATTGTCCTACAATGTAATGAAGGTTCAACCACAATGTTTTATACTGTTCTTAGTTTTCTGGGGGTCTTGACTTCTGTCAGTTTCACAGTAGCCTTCCTAGCTAGGAAGTTACCAGATAGCTTTAATGAAGCCAAATTTATCACTTTCAGCATGTTGGTGTTTTGTAGTGTCTGGATATCATTTGTTCCAACCTATTTGAGTACCAAAGGGAAATACATGGTGGCTGTGGAGATCTTCTCCATTTTGGCTTCAGCAGCTGGATTACTGGGCTGCATCTTTTCCCCCAAGTGCTATATCATTATTATGAGACCTGATTTGAATACAAAGGGACAGTTAATAAAAAAATAATCCTGAATACGAAGTTCAATTTTCTCATTGATTCAATGCAGCCTTCCCCACTACTCTAACCAAATAATGAGGTGACATTAATGCGGACCTTTATTTTCTCCAACCTGAATTCTCTGCTTTTGGTCTTTAAGATACAACCTAGAAATTGAAGCAGTTCCTGAGTTCTTGTCCTGATCACTTTCATGACTGTTGTTATCTCTTATGGCAGCCTTTTTTTACTAAGCCATGCCTTCTCAAAGTATCTATAGCACAGCAGAATTCAATTTCCTTTAATTCTCAAAATTTACCTTCTCCTGCATACCCAGTTACCCTTGTTTCCTTTTCCCAACAACATACATTTCTTGGATCCAACTAATGGATCCAAGTAATGTATCCAGCTGACATTACTCAAACTAAATCCATTCTCATTCCCAAAGATCAGAGTAATTTATAGGGGTTACTAAATTAAGCTTTGCTCCAGCATATGATTATTTCCTAGGGTGCTTATGGAAAAATTATACTTATTGTTAGATAATATATCTAGGAAACCAAAGACATAGGAAAAACTCATGACTTTGCAGGTAGGCACTATAAATAAATGAATAATGATAGACACCCCCCCCCAAAAAAAAGATTAAGAGGATAGGAATGAAGATTGTGAAATCCAAAAGCAGGTCATAGTTTAGTTCTAACTGGGTACAAGTGTTTCATCAATACATGCCAGTATGAATCACAACTATGAGTAGGTTGTGGGGAAATATACTTTTATGGGAACATAGAAAACTATGGGAGAAAAAGACCTAATAGTCCATCGAGTCTGCCCTTTAAGTTTCTTGTTTTTTCTTTTCTTTTTAATGTATTTTTTAATTATTATTTTTAGATCATAGACTTTTTTTTAAAAAAATTAATTTTTAATTTTCTTTTTTACTTTTCACTTGCCACGTACCTCTTTGGAGGTATGGCTATATGCAATAACATAGCCCTTGATATTCTAAAATATTAATTGTGGATAAATTGATTGACAAATTGACCATTCATTTTGGCCATGTTGTGAAAAATGTTTAGCTTAATCATTTAGTTCTCAGAATATGGAATTACAATAATTAAGAATATGTAAAAAGTATATGTGCTTTGCATTAAAATATGTTGCAAATTGTGACTCTGACTGGTTTAATTTTTACTGTCTTTATAATTGTAGCCCAATTATGAACGTAACTCCCAGTACAAAGAATATGTCAAGTAGAATGATATAACTAGATTAGAAATAACAGAATACAGAGTTGGAAAGGACCTTGGAGGTCTTATAATCTAACTCCCAGATCAAGCAGGAAACACTATACTATTTCAGAGAAATAGTTGTCCAATTTTTTCTTAAAAATCTTTGTTGGAACACCCATAATTTTTGGAGGCAAGTTATTCCAATGATTAATTGTTCTGTCAGGAAAGTTCTCCTTTGTTCTAGGTTGATTTTTCCCTTGATACCTTCCATCCAGTGGTAAAATCCAATTTTTTTTACTACCGGTTCTGTGGGTTTGGTTTGGTGGGTGTGGTGTGGCTTGGTAGGTGTGGCTTGGTGGGTATGGCAGGGGAAGGATACTGCAAAATCCCCATTCTCTCCTCACTCCTGGCAGAAGGATATTGCAAAATCTCCATTTCCACCCCACTCTGGGGCCAGCCAGAGGTGGTCTTTTCCGATTCTCCGAACTTCTCAAAATGTCCATTACCGGTTTTCCAAACTGCTCAAAATTTCCGGTACTGGTTCTTCAGAACCTGTTAGAACCTGCTGGATTTCACCCCTCCTTCCATCCAGTGCTTCCTGTCCTGCCTTCAGGTCCTTTGGAGACTAGGCTGACCCCCTCTTCTTTGAGGCAGCCACTTAGAAAATAGAACACTGTAGTCATATGACCTCAAATTCTTATTTTCATTAAATGAGACATACCTAATTCCTGCAACTGTTCTTCATGTTTTAGCCTCCATTTCCCTAATCATTTTTGTTGCTCTTCTCTGCATTTGTCTAATATATCTTTAATATAAAATGAACCTACTGCTTATAAATAAAGGGGGATGGAAACCTATAACATGAAGAGTCTTCTTCTCATAAGCATTCAACTACAAAATTTTCCTGGGGTGGAAAAAAACAGTTGCAATTACTTGGGCTTACTGGATCTTCCTTGTTAAAGATCTGCAAATAGATTTGAAGGTTGGTGATGAGTTCTGAATCATTTGCAATCCTTTAAAACAGGGGTGTGAAACTCGATTTCATTGAGAGCTGCATCAGGGTTGTGTTTGACCTCGGGGAGCTGGAGTGGGTGTGGCCAGCTTGACATCACTCATGTCAGGGATGCCTGTTGTGGCCCAGTGCTCTGCCAATGAAAACAGGCTCCCAAGCTCTGTTTTCAACTGCGACGGCCTCCTGCAACCCTCTGCCAGAGAAAACGGAGCTCAGGAGGGTCGCATGCAGCCATCCCGAGTTTCATTTTTGCTGACAGAGGCACTGCAAGCCAGTCCTTTGTTGTCTTCTGGTCAGCCCTGTGGGCCAGATCTAAGCACCCCATGGGCCAGATCTGGCCCCTGGGTCTTGAGTTTGACACCCCTGCTCTAAAACATCCTTTCATTCTCTCATTTTATAGATTAGAGCATACATTATAGCCCTAATAATGTAGGGCTACATTAGGAGGGGGGGGGAATCATTTTAAACTTCCCAATCTACACACTGCCATGTAAGTGTCCAATGATCTTCTCTACAACTACAAAGCACAGGTAGCATTTTCAAGATTATCCAAGCTCACCTAGGTCCTGCCGTAGAACCTAGGTTGAAACAGTTGGTGTCTATATTTCTTCTTGTCTATATTTATGTTCTACCAGTTGCATTATACAAGGTTGGTTATGCTCTCTTGAGGTTATGTATGGATGTACGAAATGGAATTTTTTAAAATGGACATATCCACAGCTTCTTAGTAAAAGTTCAGAGATGGTTTGACATTTGTTGGGTTTCTTTTTTTCAGCTTCTCTGTCTAAGCTGCATCTGTTGATTGCTTAACAGCAGGTATGAAATCCAGCAGGAATTTGAGCAGTTCAAAGGACCGGTAGCAGAAAATTTGAGTAGTTCGGAGATCCGGCAAATACCACCTCTGGCTGGCCCCAGACTGGGGTGGGAATGGAGATTTTGCAATAACCTTCCCCCAGAAGTGGGGAGGGAATGGAGATTTTGCAGTATCCTTCCCCTGCCACGCCCACCAAGCCACACTCATCAAGCCACACCATGCCCACCAAGCCACACCCACAGAACTGGTAGTAAAAAAAAATTGGATTACACCACTTTTAACAGTGTCCAATGCAAATAATAATACCTGATCTTTGTCTTTACCTTCAAGGGAGATTTGCAGCCACCTGATGAAATGAAATATTAAGTTGGATAAATGTAAAATCCTAAAGATGACTTAATATTGGAGGGTAGAGCCGAGGACTTTGTACAATATCTGTATGACAAAATCGCTCAGATTCGGGAAAATTTGGACTCTGACTGGGTAGTCTCAGGGGGAGAGACAGGGGCAGGTCTTGAGAATGTTATCTGGGATGAGTTTGATCCTGTGACCCCTGAGGACGTGGACAGGATTCTGGGTAGACTGAACGTGACCACTTGTTTATTGGACCCGTGTCCCTCCTGGCTGGTGCTGGCCTCTTGGGAGGTTACACGAGGTTGGCTCCAGGGGATTATAAATGCTTCCTTGAGAGAGGGTGTCTTCCCTGCCGCCTTGAAGGAGGCGGTGGTGAGGCCTCTCCTCAAGAAGCCTTCCCTGGACCCAGCAGTGTTGGCTAATTACCGTCCAGTCTCCAACCTTCGCTTCGTTGCGAAGGTTGTTGAGAGTGTGGTAGCGCGACAGCTTCCTCAGTACTTGGATGAATCGGCTTATCTAGATCCGTTCCAGTCGGGCTTCAGGCCTGGATACAGCACGGAAACGGCATTGGTCGCATTGGTAGATGATCTCTGGAGGGCCCGGGACAGGGGTTGCTCCTCTATCCTGGTCCTATTAGACCTCTCAGCAGCTTTTGATACCATCGACCATGGTATCATGCTGCACCGGTTGGAAGAGTTAGGGGTGGGGGGCACCGTCTTGCGGTGGTTCTCCTCCTTTCTCTCTGATCGGTCGCAGTCTGTGTTGACAGGGGGGCAGAGGTCGACCCCGAGGCCTCTTGTATGTGGGGTGCCACAGGGGTCGGTTCTCTCACCCCTTCTGTTCAACATTTATGTGAAGCCGCTGGGTGAGATCATCCGTGGTTTTGGGGTGACGTATCATCAGTATGCTGATGATACTCAGCTATACATCTCCACCCCGGACCACCCCAATGATGCCCTTAAAGTGATGTCCCAGTGCCTGGAGGCTGTACAGATCTGGATGGGGAGGAACAGACTCAGGCTCAACCCATCCAAGACCGAGTGGCTGTGGTTTCCGACGTCCCGATATAGTCAATTGGTGCCATCACTGACTATTGGGGATGAGTCATTGCCCCCCACGGAGAGGGTTCGCAACTTAGGCGTCCTCTTGGACTCACGGCTGTCTTTAGAAGAACACTTGACGGCTGTGGCCGGGAGGTCTTTTTATCAGGTTCGCCTGATTCGCCAGTTGCGTCCCTTTCTGGATCGGGACTCATTAAAAACGGTCACTCATGCCCTCGTCACTTCACGCCTGGACTACTGTAATGCTCTCTACATGGGGCTCCCCTTGAGGAGCACCCGGAGGCTCCAGCTGGTCCAGAATGCGGCCGCGTGGGTAGTTATGGGAGCAGCATGGCGCTCCCATGTGGCTCCCCTCCTGCGCGAGCTGCACTGGCTCCCTGTGGTCTTCCGGGTGCGCTTCAAGGTCTTAGTTACCACCTTTAGAGTGCTCCATGGCTTAGGACTGGGGTACTTACGAGACCGCCTTCTGCCACCAATAGCCTCTCATCGCCCAGTACGCTCCCATAGAGAGGGGCTTCTCAGGGTGCCGTCAGCCAAACAATGTCGACTGGCGGCCCCCAGGGGGAGAGCCTTTTCTGTGAGGGCACCCACCATCTGGAATGAGCTCCCCCCAGAGATACAGAAGATTCCGGATCTGCGCACTTTCCGCCGTGCCCTCAAAACATTCCTGTTTCAGCAGGCCGGCCTGGCCTAACTTTCCCTTTATATTGCTTTTTGATTTTATTTTAAACTGGGATGTCTTGAATTATCTAGGACCAGAATGTTTAGTATATATTAATTGGTTTTTTATTATTAACGTTTGTATTACATGTATTTTTATCGTTCGCTGTTCACCGCCCTGAGTCCCTTAGGAATAGGGCGTATATAAATTTAATAAATAAATAAATAAATATAACAGACAATTATAAGAAGAGAACCTTGTTATCTTTGGTGGCCAAAATTAGAAGGCATGTATATTCCAACCAATATATTTTATTTAAATAGGCTTAAAAGGCTATTAAATAACTTTTAAATTGTATTAAAAGATATGAACCAACTGATTTTTATTTTTTATTTTTTGCTAATCACATTAGTGAAGTGGTGTGATGGGAATTTCATTGAAGAATATGTCTTTTTAACATTGGATAGCACATATTTGATATAACCTGAGAGTGAACTGTAACATATTTTTAAACAAGCCAGTTAAATGCTTGGGGCAATTCCCTATTTCCTATATTTTTATGTACTTGAATGATGTTAACAACTACTATTTTTGTCTTCCCTCTCCCTCCCTCTCCCTCTTTCCATCCCTCTCCCTCTCTCCCCCTTTCCCCCACTCTCTCTCCATTTATATTTCCCCTTTTTTCACTTATATAATCAGGGAAATCACAATGTGCTCTGATGCCATTGTATCAATAAACTTAAAAAACCTTTCTCCAAATATTTAGGAGTTAATATGTGTAGTTTATGAATAGCATTAAAAATTGCAATAAAAAGCATTAAAAGGTTCTTTTCTTACTCTCATTTAGATGTATCCCTTTCTTAGATATGTCTCATTCAATGACAGCAGTGGAAGAACCATTTCTTTTGACCAACATGGAGAATTAGTAGGAGGGTTTGATATCATCACCGCCCTGCGTCTTTTCTTAGAGTCAAAATCAGAAAGCTGGACCCACAAGCCCCCTTAGACCAAAGGTTGACTATTTCCATAAAGGACATTG